GTAGTTCACATCTGCCAAAAGATCGGAACTGCTATGCAGCATAAGCAGTGACTTGAAGTAATACGATAGAAAAAGCTAATGTAGTATTAGTGTTTGTTATAACTCATACCTGTTTAACTACTGGCTAGACTTTTGCCTTCTCCACTGGTGTCTGGTGTCTCAATGCGTCTAATGGTTGAATTTTCAAACCATCATGACCAAATAACTAGGCACTGGCACAGGAAACTGTCCTAAACAAACACACTAGAGTTTGGAGTTTTATGGTTTGGTTCCGCTGAAATTCTCAGTTTGTAAGATTAAATAACATGAACAAAGAATCTACAATCTACTTTAAATGCTTGTATCGGTTGACATGTGTTTTCGCCAAAAGTTGGTTTTGTTGTGGAATTCATTATATCTTCGGTCGATTACAATAAATTCAAAGAAAACAGCCTTTTTATAAGACTCTTTTACACAACAAAAAGAAAATTACAACTCTTGAGAAAATAAACGCAGGATCGTTGTTTGGATCGCTGCTTGCGTGGGATCTTTGTCTGTGCCGGGAGCGCTTTGACTCGTGGACCACCAAATCACAGATTCTGATTGAATCGTGAGGGGTTTATGATTCTGACTTCGTTTATCGAAGTGAGAAATTGAAACGATATCTTATCGAAGTAAGATAGTCGTTCTTCTTGAAATTAAGTCAAAGCTCAATTTCAAGGATTTGCCGGAGGCTCAAGAACTTTGCTCTCTCTCTGCTCTGAAGTGCTCCAAATGATCAGCTTTGGATCTTTGCTGGAAGCTCCCTCGTGAAAAATAGCCTTCGGGGGGTATTTATAACCCTCTGGATGAACAGTGCTCGCGAGACAGCATTTGCTGTCTCGGCGGGCGAGACAGTATTTGCTGTCTCGCTGGGCGAGATAAATACTGTCTCGGAAACAGTAACCGTAGGCAGTTTTCGTTTTAACTGCCTTCCCACGTTTCAAACTCCGTTATTTTGGCAGTTATCCACGTGATTCTCGCCCACGACGTTTCCCACGTTCTTGAACAGTTAGTGGCACGTGTAGGGCAGTTACAAAGGCGATTTTTTGACCATCTCAAAGCTGTCTCGCTGGCGAGACAGTAAAGTCTGTCTCGCTGGCGAGACAGCAAACACTGTCTCGCTGGCGAGACAGCAAAGTCTGTCTCGCTGGCGAGACAGCAAATACTGTCTCGCTGCGAGACAGCAAAGACTGTCTCGCAGGCGAGACAGCAAAGTCTGTCTTGCTAGCGAGACAGTTCATATCTGTCAGTTTTGAGTGGTTTTCCCTATGTTTGGATATCTTTCAGCATTTTTTGACACCTACAACATGTAGTAGGCTTTATCCCCCCTTCTTATTGTGAGATCATAAATCTTAAATTTAGTTCCTCTAACTATTACATCAAAAGTCCAAAGTTATGGTGAAGGTCGAGAATTATACTTTTATATTACTTTTAACATGCCCCCGCAGGTTAAACGCTCGTTTTTATGGGCTAAAACCTGGACTCACGTAGCGGTGTCAATTTTAGAAAATCCGTTTAAAATTTATGGCCGGTGGGATTTGAACCTGGATTGCTCTGATACCATCTTAAATTTAGTTCCTCCAACCATTACACCAAAACTTCGAAGTTGTGTTGTGGTCAAGGATTACAGTTTTATATTAATTCTGACATACCCCTGCAGGTTCAATGCCCTTTTTATGGGGTGAAACCTAAACTCACGCAGCGGTGACAATTTTTAAAAAATACTCTTAAAATTCGTGGTCGGTGGGACTTGAACCTGGGTTGCTTTGATATCATCTTAAATTTAGCTCCTCTAACCATTACACAAAAACTCTGAAGTTATGGTGAGGGCCGAGAATTATAGTTTTATATTAATTTTAACAATAAATATAGATACGAATCAAGACAGCGAATGGTGTAAGTTTTGCCCATTAGGAAATCATCAGTAGTTATACATGTCCAATCTAGATGGTTATCTGGAAGCCCCATATCTAATACTCATCCAACCTAAATGGTTATCTAAAAGCTCATTTTCAAGCTTCAAGATCCACTGTTGTAAAGACCTAAATCTTTACTCGTCCAATCTAAGATGGTTGTCCAGAAGCCCTTGTCATGCTTTAAGATTTAATATAGTTAAACCTTATATTTTGAATCAATCAAACAATTCATCAACAGTTCAACATATATCCATGTTGGCCTAAGTGCGATTATCAACAAATAAGTGTGTGGGCATTACATTCCCTTACCCCTTAAAATTATTTTTTTCCTCAAAATTCACATAACTTGTCATTAAAAGAGGTAGGATATTTCTCCATTTCTTTATTCTACCTAGTTGCTTCTTTATGAAAATGATCATTAATTACTAGTGAAAACACTTGAAGCACAACACTTTCTTGTTACGGTCTCCAATCAGGACATGTTCCTTTGTTCGTATCAAATTCCCTAAATCCCAAAATTGAGCGGCACAAATTTTAAGCAAGATAGACCAAGTTCATTATATTCTAAAGCATAGACAAATGAAATAAATAGAAAATACTAGATAAGAATGGAGGTATTATCCCCTTACATGCTATCGGCTAAGCAATTTCTAAGATCTCAAGAGGACTGATAGCGATGTAATTTTCCTGTTTTGCTGAATCTATATTTCCTTTAGAGGGATAGACTTAACGATCACCAACATGTACTCAAAGTCTCTTTGGTTATTGTTAGAAGAAGAGAGTATTAGTTTAGTCCCACATTGTTGTAGGCAATAAAAATTGCCTTTAATCCTTATCAGAGAAGTTCAGAACAAAACTGCTAAAACCTCGCCCGAAATAGCAGAAAAAAGGGAAAAACGCAGATATCTCCCAAACCGTAAGAAATTTGGCGAAACGGAGGAAGGGAACCGAAGCCTTCGGCTCGGTTCGGATGGCCCCATCTCGTCGAGATAAGCGATTTTCATATATAATCCGTCTAATTCCGACTTAAGGTTTGAAAGTTACGGCTTATTCTTCGATCCATGCTCAGGAGCTCGCCTGCAGCTCGAATTTCGCCTGCACGATCAAGACCCAAGTCTGCCTGCGCACCTGAGCTCGCCTGCAAACCCAATTCGCCTGCTAGCTCGCCTGCTCGCCTGCAGTCCCAAATCCGCCTGCAGACCCAAGTCTGCCTGCTCGCCTGCAGCTCGAAATTCCCAGTTCGCCTGCAAGCTCGCCTGCAGACCCAAGTCTGCCTGCAGTCCCAAACTCGCCTGCAGACTCAATTCGCCCGCAAGCTCGCCTGCAGACCTAAGTCTGCCTGCAGTCCTAAGCTCGCCTGCAGACCTAAGCTGCAGACTCGCCAGCTCACTGTCAACTGCCCACTTGGAGTATGGGAACAGTTACATCAGTGGTCAAATCCCACGAATCAAGGGAGAGGGCACAGTACCCCAAGACCGTCAAGCGGCCGCTCACAGTACGAATGATTGGGCAGGTGTCAAGTCGGCCTGAACATTCATAAATGCAGCTCACCTCGGCTGTCTGAGTCAAGAGCCGGATCCGCCAGCACCCGACGAGCTGTCAAAGCCCACTCGAGTACCAGGAACCCGCTTTCCCACCTCTCTCGGCCTGAAGAGAGAAGACACGATACTCCAGGCCCGTCGAATGACTGCTCACGGTACGAGTGATCGGACAGATGCCAGATCAACCTGCGCGTTCATAAATGCAACTCAGCTCATCGGTCCAAGTCAAGGGCTGGAACCGCCAGCGCACAGTGAGTTGGCCCAATCCACTCGAGTAAAGGACGGCCGCTCCTAGGCGACAGGACGTGAAGCACGACCCATCGAGTGACGGTTCGTAGTACAGAGGAGCGACAAGATGTTTCTCAACAGTGTATGGTCACATCCCATGATTCAAGGAGCGGCCACGCCATCTCTCCTCTATTTAAGAACCCCGCCCGGCTACAGGAAAGGGGTTCACACATAGTTAATTGATTAATTCAATCAGTTAACTGAACCACTGACTCTCGACTCCCAACGGAGTCGACGACAAGCTCTCTGCATCACCTTTGCATTGCAGCGCCACTTCCTAGTTCTGAGCCCCGATCGCCGGTGAACTAGCAGACCCGAACTCCATCGACTCGAGCTTCTACTGCGTACCGAAGCTCTCCAGCAACTTCGATCGGATCGTCCAAGGGAAGCAGACTCGGCACGAGCACCGAGCGAGGCGTCCTATCGCCACCGAGGAACCCACGTTAAATAAGGAGGGTCTTCCCTCCGCTTCTGTTGTAAATATTTGATTTATTGGTTTGTAATAAGCCTTCTTATCAATACAAACAAAGTTCCCTGTTTTCGGGAGATCAAAATTTACACATATAATTGCTTGTGAGACTAACTTGTAACTAATCACTCTCTATAAATAAAGTACAGAGTGAGAGGATAACTCTCCAATAATCTCTTTTCTTTCCAAACTTTAACATGGTACCAGAGCCTCCTAAACCCTAAACCTTAACCCTAATTCCCGTCGCCACTTGTTCTAACCCTAACCCTAATTCCTAAACCCTAGCAGCATCCTCTCCTCTCTCTCGAAATCCTAACCACCTCCTCTCCTCTCTCTCGAAAACCTAGCCGTCTCCTCTTCTCTCTTGAAACCCTAGTCGCCTCCTCTCCTCTCTCCGTCTCCTCTCCTCTCTCTCGAAACCCTAGCCGCCAAAGATCAAATCCGTCACTATCTGCTTCGTCCGCCACCATCGCCACTTGCTTTGTTCGTTGTCACTTGCTTCCTTGACAACTTGGATATCTTACCTTGCTCGATGTTTCCTCGAGTTCAAAGTTGGATTTGATCTTGAGAAGTGTT